GTTCATGAAAACGAGCTCAATAGCTCACGATGAACTCCTAAATTCATAGGAATGAGCTCAGAAGCTCACAATGAACTCTTAAGTTCATGAAAACGAGCTCAATATTAAAAGCTCACGATGAACTCTTAAGTTCATAAAAATGAGTTCAATAGCTCACGATGAACTCTTAAGTTCATAAAAATGAGTTCAATAGCTCACGATAAACTCCTAAGTTTATAGGAATGAGCTCAAAAGCTCACGATGAATTCTTAAGTTCATGAAAACGAGCTCAATAGCTCACGATGAACTCCTAAGTTCATAGGAATGAGCTCAGAAGCTCTCGATGAACTCTTAAGTTCATAAAAATGAGTTCAATAGCTCACGATGAACTCCTAAGTTCATGAAAATGAGCTCAATAACTCATGATGAACTCCTAAGTTCATGAGAACGAGCTCAATAGCTCAAAATGAACTCCTAAGTTCATAGGAATGAACTCAGAAGCTCACGATAAACCCTTAAGTTCATAAAAATGAGCTCAGTAGCTCTTGATGAACTCTTAAGTTCATCACAACGAGCTCGGCCACGTACGGTGGGGAGTTTAGAAAGAAAAACTCTTTCGGAAGAAGTTGCAGAACCATGAGGTCTACAAGTCCAACATCCTGAAAAATCCAAACAGTTTCCAAGTCCATAATTGAACTCAGTAGCCTTATTCCCATTAAAGATAAAGTTGTGTCAGACACCCCCAAGCCTTCAAGAATAAGATCGTTTTAAGCTCCATGCCTCTCAGTTCACCACAACCTAAGCTCGGCTGCATAGATCTACAGAATTGCCAAAGCCAGCATGAAACGCAGGGAACAGCTGGTGATGAGATTTACCACTTATTCTCATCCAATAAGCTCAAATATGAAACTCCCAAAGCATTCTTGCTTCAGAAAGAGCTCAGCACTCCTTAAAGCAAGGGGGACAAGGGAAGACTAAAGTAAAAACGCACAGCTAGAACACATTTGAAGTCGCTGATTGGGAAGCCATTACTGTTACATCCTAAGTTTAGCCCTTGCCCAAGCCAGCTCGGCCAAGAGGTGGGGGGCAACTGATAATACTCAGAATGATTCTCGAGCTTCTGCTCGGGAACGGAGGTCAAACATGGAGGTCAGGTATACTGAACTCAGAACGTCAGAGCTATGCAGAGCTCACAAAATCAAAACTAGAGCTCCCCTCAAGCGAGATAATAAGCTGAAGCAATGAGGAAGCAACTGGATACTACAAAAAACTCTACAGGCGGTTTGAAGTAACACTCAAGACACAAAATCCTCAACCAACTAAGATACTCTCCTAAGACTTAGGAGAATTCCTCGGATAGATGACAAGGATCACGGATCGGATCTCATAGATTAAAGGATACCCCTATAAATATTATATAACGCCCCCAAAAAAGGGACAAGAACCCTAGTATCACATCGTACATTCTGTAACCCTTTTTGATATAGTAAATAGTGAAGGAAGGAACAAGAATCTCCATTGAAGAGTGGATTAACCGAACTCTCGAGCCGATGAACCACTATATTTCTACTGTGTTAATTCTCCAACTCCCCAACAATTCTTAGTATCACTCCCTCGAGCGTAGTAGCTCAGATCCCAATAATTCCAAGATTGTTTCTTTCATTTACTCGTCGTCACAAAATTACATCACGTTGAAATACACCATTAAATACCATTGAAAAAGAAGAGAACAAATATATGTGTGCACATACTTACCTAAATTAACGAAATGAGCCTGGCATTTAGTTAATAATCATTTTTTTCTCAACCTTTTCTCATACTTGAGCTGCAAACCAAATCATAAAATAAAATTTTATCAACCATTTATAGGAATTATTGGAAAATGCTAAACATATCTCTCTCTCTAAATTGACTCGGTTGTATGTTAGATTGGTATCTTTTCACTGAATTTTCTTCATATTCTTCTTACAATTGAGCGATCGAGTGATCGATGGTGTGGTTAAAAACAATGAACTGACAGCAAGTACGCCGAGAAGAGAAGATCAAAACGGGCATTGGGGGGCAAAGAGTTGGGTTTGGTGGAAGATGCCATTTTGCAATACGAAAACGCCTGGCTAGTATTGATCGAAGTCTCTTCAACGCCTATTCTTTCTTACAGCAACTCTAGTTGTGGCCAACAAATGAAGAGATGATACTTCGGGTTAAAACCACGAAAAGCTACCATCATTTTTTTACACAAACATGAATCAGGCGCTGTCAAACAAGAATCATAAGTAGAGATTGGGGGAACATTTTGGGTTAATAGGGCCAACGCAAGGGTATAATTTTATAGGTGAACTATGTTGTTTTTAAAAGGAATCATCAAATCCGAAATGGTAACAAAAGATTAGTCAATTACTCTTAGAATCTGTAAAGTCTAAAAGTAAATTAGGTAAGGTAATTTTAAGGTCTAATAGGGTCTCAAACTTTTATTAGTTACAATAATTTTAATTAAAAAAGGATTGTATGGACATTACTTGTATTATTGAGGCATATAGCTAATGCAAAGTTTTCACTTTTTTTAACATTTTATAGTAGTATAAATTTTAAAGTCGTATAGATAAGTCTTTTATGAAAAATATTCTAAAAAAAGTCCTTCAGTAATAAAGAAATACCTCAGTACTCTTTATTATACATTTGTTGTTTAAAATGATTTGGAAACCCATAGAGGAAAAAAAAATTATTTCTTTTTTTTTTTTAACGATATGTTTCAAAGTTTTTGAAAACCTTTTGAAATTTAAAAACTAAAATTAAGAAATTATAGTTATTTTATCTTAAAAAGTGCTGAAATTAATAAATTTTAATTTGCATTAGGTTTAACTTAGTCAAATATGTATTTTATAGAAATTACGTTAAACAACAATTTGGGAGTCAAATTTATAGGATTTCGTCTTTAACATAACAAAATTTATTTCTTTTTTTTTTAGGAATATGATTCAAAATTTTTGAGAACCTTTTGATATTTGAAAATTAAAATTAAAAAATTTTAGCTATCTTATTTTAGAAAGTTCTAAAATTAAAAAAAAAATTTAAAGGCACACTATGGTGTCACACTTTCTACCTAAAAGGGTCAACCATAGTATTTGAGATGTGATTTTTTTTTTATTTTTTTGTATTTTGGAGTCATACTGCTTATCCACTATATATAAAAGGGAAAGTTCACGGTACCGTACCGCCACTTACTACTTTTATGATAAAGTTACAATTCAAAAGGCAGAAGTTACAATTACTCAGGAAAGTCCATGATCGATTAAAAGGACCATGATCGATCTCAAATACATATAATCGATCATGGACTTTACCTGAACAATTGTAACTTTTCTCTTATGAGTTATAACTTGACCTTTAAAAGTTGTAACTTTATTATCAATCACAATCTATGAGCAATTGTAACTTCTCTCTTATGAGTTATAACTTGACCTTTAAAAATTGTAACTTTATTATCAATCACAATCTATCATGATCGATCATGACCTTTAAAGGTTGTAACTTACATCTAAAAAAAATTATAACTTAACTTTAAATAGTTATAAATTTCGGTACGATACCAAGGGCAGTATCGTAGCCTTCCCTATATAAAGTCACTTTTATAGTAACATTTTCAACAAACACTTTATTGACACATTTCGTTTTCATAAATATCGTTTTACTTGAGTAATCATTTGTTATTACCATTTTTTCTTATGAATTTATAGTGTGACAAGGAGTTGTAAATTTTTTCAAATATAAAGACATTATTGATGCAGTGGATTAGGCAAGACGATTACACACACACGTTTATTTAATTTAATACTATGACAACGGAGAGTAACATCATTGACTAAGAGGTTTAAACACGACAATTACACACATATTCCTTTGTTTTATTAGTATAACAACAGAGTCTAATATCATTGTTTTAAAACTTGGCCACTACGGTTACAACCACACGTATTCATTTGATTTAATAGTTTAATAACACAGTGTGACAACATTGGTTCATTTGTTGATACAATCACAATTGCCAATCAAAAAAACGACATTATAGTCATAAAACTGAAACCAAAAAAATGATCATATAAACAATTACATTTACCAAAAAAATAGAGCCACAAATATGAAGAGATGAAAAAATCAAAAATAGAATGTACGTATCATTTATCATATTATAGAAATTATGAGGTTATAACGATATAAATAAAAATTATAGTGTAACAGAACAATACAAAAAACATGGAGAAAACGATCTTTTTTTTTTTTTTTTTTTTTTGGGGGGGGGGGGGGGGGGGGTTGGAACTAACTTAGTCTAACAATAGTTTGATCGAAAAAAATGAAATAAAAACGTGATCACTCAAACAATTAGTTGAATAGAAAAAATAGAACCAAACAAAAGAACCAAAAATGAATAAAAGTATAATTTTGAACTCGATAATGATTGAACATTGCAGAAGAAGAAGAAAAACAAAAATTGGTTGAAGAAGAATAAAGAAGATCACTAAACTAGTTAGAGAAGAAGAAAGAAAAATGAAAATTGGTTGAAGAAGAAAAATGATAATGGCTGATGGTTGGAGAAGAAAATAGAAGATACATTTGATGGCAAAGATACTAAGGATATAATTCACCTATTAAATTAAGAAATATTCAATATAATAAAACAATTCAAAAAACAAAATAACTACAAAATCTAATATGCGTGATTTAAGGGAAAAACAAATATGTCAAAAAAAATCAGAAAAAGTCAACAAGTGTACCTAAACACAATAAAGTTAGAAAAACGACAACTAAATGACTATATATTTCAAGGCCAATAAGTATAATTTGGTATACTCCTTCACAATTCTCCATTAAATGTGCACAACCAAAAATCCTTTTTAATGACTCAAATCCATAATGATCAACTGACAAATAATAAAATAAAATTGCAGCAAATGAAAAGGACCCCGGGATGATTTGATCACTTCCCCTAAAAGCACTGATGTAGAGTGCATTAATAGTTGCCAGCAAAAAAAAATAAAATAAAAAGACAAGAATATTTTCCATGAATTGTGAGGGCCATCCCATCCCAAGTGTAATTTGCTTAAAAACATATATTGATACCCACATTCATTCTTGCTCTTTCCTTTGCATTGATAATCATTCTCTCTCATATACATCACAAAACTTGTATTCACAAAATTTTGCACAGGCTTTGGCCATATAGCAATGATAGCTATCCCCTAATACAAAAGGGCAATAATATATGGGGGCAAAATGAAATAAGGCCCCTCCATACATGAGAAAGGGAACCGATCCCAAAGAACAAAAAATGGACAAAAAACCGAAAAAAAGAGGGAAGATGAGAACCCTGTACACATACCTCTACATCTGTCTCTATCTCCCCCAAGCTCCGGGCAATGGTTATGTACATATAACCAAAATTTAGCCCTGGCAAGATCCAACATCCCTTCAGTAAACTCTTTATCATAATCTGAAGTAGTTACCATCTGTGTCCGTATTGTGATGGAATGATGACCTTCATCTACAGGAACAAGGTTTCATAAGTAGCATTTCATTCAAATGAGTTATCTAAGAACATGCAACTCACAGCATCATATCGACTAATAGCTAAGACACTAGAATGTTCCGTAGGGAGAGGTCAGCGGTCCATCCACAACAAAGCATGTATGGAACTGGGAAGTACCCTAAGGGACCAATTCTTTGTGGCATAATTTGGGACGAATATGTCAAGAGTCCAAATAAGCTCTATAAATTATAAGGAGAAGTGTTCCATAATTCTTTCTCTTTGCCTTATTTCAGACTGTTGTTCCAAAAATAGCTATCCATAAAATAATTGATAAATTATCGAATTGTATGACCAAGCTCTTAATGGGAGCAACCAAATTTCGGTCTTGAGGCATGGCCCATGCAGTGAGACAAAGATTACTCGTGTACGTATCTGAAACTAAGAAAACAACATACCTGTACACTGCTTCTTTGAGGGTATGCCGATCCAAACTGGACAGGTCCAGCTGACCCAGGATTTACTCAGCCTATTAATGGTGCTTCATTCCAGTCCAGAGTACATGGGCTCAACATACAAACTGCCGCTCCCTGCTTGCAGAAGTTGTGTCTGTGGCTGATGATGGTGTGGGGGCAGCTGCTGTTGTGGTGATTGCTGTTGCTGCTGCTGCTGTGTTTGCGGTGGTGAGGGAGGAGGTAGCTGTGATGGCTGCTGCTGCCACTGTGCATCAACATCATGCCCAAGTGGGGACAAGCTGCCAGATGACTGCCTTGGGCCTGGTCCGTGACTGGCCACAGGGATAGGCTCACTCCCGGCACAATTTGTCACTGGATTTCGCATACCAGAAGCAAATAATGGTTCCGATGCTTTCCATTGAGGAGCACCAGTAGAAGAAATAACCTTCTGAGATGAGTTGCTGACAGGGTTCTGGTCTGCTTGAGCATCTCTGCTTTGCAACTTGTTTGCAGGGTCAGCATTCACTTGGCGATTTTGTTGAAGCACTCTTTGAAGATTTTGTTGAGATTGATTGACTAACTTAGAGTGATTCTGTGGCTGTGGCTGCTGATGATGGGAAGAGGTCATTGCCAATGATGGTACTACTTGATGGGAAGTGGATGATGAATGACCAGAGGCATCTGGTCGAACATGACCTTGATTGCTATTATCAGCGTTTGAAGGCATCTGCTGGAGTTGCTTGGATATCTTCTGCTGAGGCTGGGACTGATTTGAGCAATGAGGAGGCATTAATGGCTTTGATGCTTGAACAGGAGTTAGTCCTGGCCCAGAATATAAGCCTTGACCTTGCATCAAATGCATAACCTGCTCCCCTTTTTCTGTAGATTGGCTTCCAGGAGTCGGTGCAATGCCATTCAGGAGGGAGGGATCAATGGGAAGGTTCTGGTGCATCATTATGTTACCTCTTCCTACACCCTTCAGAAGTTTATTCTGCTGTTGAGACTGCGATTGAGGATGCTGCCTGCCAGCTTGTTGCAACAGTTGCAATTGCGGTGACTGACGTTGCCGTTGCTTCCCCATCTGATTGGTCAAACCACTGCCACCTGTTTGAGCACTCCGGCCAAGCCCATGTGGTGGCATCTGATGTTTTTGCTGGTTCTGTGACATTGGAGTCATTGAGGATGTTGGCGTCAAAGATGATAGTGATAATGGTGGAGAAGTAATTTGTGACTGAATTTGGGAACTATTTTGCAGAGGAGATGATATGGGCAGTTGGGCCTGTGGTGGTACATGTGGCATCAAAGCGTTGGAAACATCAAATTGTTGTTGTTGCTGCTGCTGCGGCCGTTGCAGCATGTGCTGCGTCAGGTGCCTCTCTTTTGCCAAGCGGATTGCACAGGCTTGATGCTGCATGCTGGGGGGATGATTAGGTGCTTGAGGATGATGAGAATTGCTGTGGGCATGGGTCGGTTGAGGGGACATTGGGTGTGGTTGCTGGTGATGGATTAGGTATGACGGAACAGGTGGAGGGGCTGTCTGATTAGAGAAAGAGGAACTTAACCCACCAAAAGAAGGGACTCCTTGGCTGTTTCCTTGTGAGACCTGCATCTGAAGGTCTGGCACCATCATTTGCCTTTGAGAATCCGGGCTCTGGCTTGGCTATCACAGCAAACAAACAGTGTTATATCAAACAGATTTGAGGCAGAAAAAGGTTATGTCAAACATTTCACCAGCTGATAAAGAGAAGATAGAATCTCTCAAGTCAATATTATTTTACATCAACAAAGAAACTCCACAATTACTTACCTATGTTAGTTAAAGAAATCATTATTCCACCTACAAATTCACCAAATCTACCAACAAGTTTAGGGTGAATATAGTATGTACTCAAATTCACAGAGGCTAACACATCTCATTGGGGTTATGTTATTTACAAAATAGCACTCCAAAGCCAGATGTTAAGATCTCTTCGGGCTGTCTTTGGGGTTCACTGGGCAATCTAGACTTTCCAAATTTGACATTACAGGCACATGCCACCAAATCAAGCTAGACTTAAACAAAAGTTGACTTTCATTATTATTTCAACTCTTGCACAAGCATATGCTTCTGTTTGTGTTTGATCAGTAAAACTTATTGAATGCAATAAAAAAAATAGTTCATATTAACCATTTCTTTCATTAGTTCTGAGGAAATTTAGAGTCATTGCCACATAGCATCTCTATCAAACTACTCAGACGTACGAAGACAACACCACAGTACCATCACAATAACATACTTTACAGTGTTGACACAGTATATTTTCAGTTTTTAGCATTTATACAAGAGCAAATTAAAATTGCCGGGATCAAGACATTTGATTGCAGATTTTTTATTCTTATAAGTAATAAAAATACAAAAATGTCTCAGAAAGATATACAAAATAATAATTACAAGCTGGCCGAGGGGGACCTATAGAACTACAGCTGAATTCACTGACAAAGGCCAACTTCAAACAGAAATAAAAATAAGGGGAATAAAATTTTATTTTTACAAACAAGGAAATCAACCTAACTACTTGAACCGATTGCACCTTACCGGGCTAATTTTTTGTGGTACTATGGGTATGAAGGCTGACGTGTGAACTAAATAAAAGACTACTTTCGATGATAACAAGTGACTCGTTCATTTTATTTGATGCTAGATATGGGACTAAGAGGTCACATTTACAACAAGGTGCACTACTCAAAATCATGCACTTGTTATGAATGTTGTTGGACAGCAAACAGGCAAGGTCAGCAGCTGTAAAAATAAACAAGCCCCCCTCTTTCTCCATCCACCTCCCCAACACTCATACCCATCCCACCCCCAACAAAGAAAAGGATAAAAGGATAAGTAAACATAGAATAGAATTGACAATAGACATATAATGGCAGACCACCTACTTAAGTCCCCCAGAAGTATTCCAAACCTGTGAATGTCAAAAGGTTCTGACTGCAATCTACAAATTCAATTGTCATTACTTTTGAGTGTAAGATAGTAAGATATAGACAAAATAAATCCTAAACTAGGGACGGGGAAAGAATGGAAAAATCCAAAAACTTAGTGACTCACCCGCATCAAATGCAAAGCATCACGAGGTCTCAACATTGAGTTTCCTTGACCAGAAAAAGATCCAGAGTGCATATTAACAGGGCTTGGCATTGCTACCATACCAGAGGAAAGCACACTCCCTGAATTTAGCATTGTTGATGAGGAAATTCCTTGGAATGCAGGCCTTGTCATCGGCATGCTTCTATTCAAGCCACACATAATGCCCATACCATTGCCACCAGGTAACATTCGGACACCACGATCACTTCCTGGAAGAGATCCAGGAACAGACAAACCAGACTGCTGAATGTTCTTGCCGGATGACATTTGATTATACTGTTGCATTCTTTGCTGTTCATCAATTGATAAGGAAGCACTTCTAGGAATACCATATCTACCATCCCATAGAGTACAATACCCCAGACACAATTATAAACAAAATCAATGTATGATAAGAGTAGCAAAAAGATAATATCAAGCCAAATATACAGCATATTACCTAACAGAAGAATTGACTGGGCCAGATGGTGATGAATAGTTACTGCCAAGTACCATATTGGAAGACCCTTGCACTGAGGAAGCAGGAAGGAATTGTGCTACAGTACTCTGGTTCGGAATACCTACCTCAGTAGAGTGATGGCCTTGATACACAGGAGCATGAACATCGGGGCTAGATGCAGTTGCATCACAGAGATCCAGAGGCCTTTATTGAAATAAACATTATAAAAAAATAAATAGAAGGTTGATAGCACAATTTCTTAAATGTGATAGAAGCCATTACACTCATTTTTTATAGGTAAAATCAATCAGATTCATTGAAAGCTATATCGTGAATTTATGAATGGCAATGTGTAACACAAGTAGAGGCTCAACTATGCTCAAGTGTTAAAATGCACTTAAAAATAGAAACCAAAACTTACGTCAGAATAGGACCTCCATTCAGATTATTTGGGAAAACTTGAGAAAGAGCAATTGTATGGGAACCATGAGGTTGCTGAAGTTGTTTTGGGTCCTGGTTATTATTCTTCAAAACAAAAACCGGAGTTAAGAGTTATTTCAAAGCCAGTAAAGCAACCACAAATGAAATCCATGAACTTAATGCAAACTTTTCCTTGCTCTAATCCAAAAAATTCAAAATCTCCACGACTCATGCAAGTAAAACAATAAGCAAAATGAACCAGAGTTTAGAACTTCCACATATCCCTTCAAGCAAAATATTGTAAAACATTATAATAATGTCTATAAATGAGGCACTAGCTTGAGGGCACAATAAGGAACGCTTTGCTGAAATACAACCCCTTCAGGAAACAAAAGAGGAAACAAATAGGCTGCAGACCACTGAAATCCAAATTAATGTTTGGATCTGTGTGGATGTAACAAATTTATATTATTTTGGACAGAAATATACCTGAGTCATCCTGTGAGGGTGTTTTTGACCAATCATAATGATATTATCAAAATGAGATTTGAGGGTATCCTCTACCATAGGACCTTGCAAACGTTGGAACAATTGTCTGGCACTGCCCTGTGTACAATGCAGCACCAACAGCCAAACAAAGCAGCTAATTAAAACAACATTAGGCAGGTAAGGAAGGCAATGTGTATTTAGCAAACTGATGAAGGTTCAATTTGAAAGAAAGAACAACTTCTTAAGAAAAAAAACAGAAGGCCACAGACTAAATAGGGAAAGAATATTGCCTTCGGAATTCCGGGTAAAGTAGACGGATACGGCTGAGAAGACCCTGAATCTTCAGCACTATCAGCCCCATCACCAGCAGTCCTATCCATTAAAATCTTGTGACGCTCTTTACATTCTTTAGGCTTCCGAAATATACACTGCACGTCAAACAAGAAAATATGATTTGCATAATTAATGCCCCTAAAAACACACATAAAATTTAATGTACTTTCCAACAAAAGCTTAGAGTAAATAAAACAACAAACCAGCGCAGGATATAAGTTCACCTTGAATTGCAAAGAACTGTTGACAGCATCACTTACAAACTCCCAATTTGGACCCATATCATGTACCAAGACAACAAGTGCCTAATCAAAACCAATACTTTTTATTCATACAGCATATCTCTAACAAGAAGAAAGCTTTACACTCAGGAATGGAAAAAGTGAAAACAAACCTGATCTTCGAATAGCGACCATGGACTTCCTAAACCAGTCTGTCCAGCTGACATCTGAAAAAAAGTTTAAATGCTCAAATTCGTCAATAAACTGCCTTCAAATAGGAGAGCAGCAACAATGAGAACAGGCTGAAAGCACAAGGTTGACTAGGTGATCTCCATTAAGTACCTTCAGCCCCTTCGCTTTCCTACTCCGATCCCGTCCGCCAAGCATTTTGATGAACTTATTTGGGTTGGACATATTACTCATTTGAGAAGCCGCCGGAGATGGAATTGACCCAACCATTGGAGTTAGATTATCAAAAGAATTATCCAGCGATTGCTTCATCATTTTCGGCTTCTTCATAATGTGTTGAACAAATAAACCTTCAAAGAAGAATAGAAATACAAACCGAACAAAGAACATGAATAATTCAGCATGTTTATTTACATAATCATTGTAGAATATGAGATAAAAAGTGATCATTACCACTGCTTCCATTAGATTCAAGATGATGACTCTCTGGCCTCTTTTTTGAATAATCCCTCTGCAGTATAGGACACATGAAAAATTTAAGTAGTAGCATGGATAATATTACATACTTAGCGAGTACTCTATAACATATTATGTAGCATATGCTGACCTCTCAGAACACGTAACATTGATTAAACAAAATATTTGACATGATTATTTATTAGTCTACTTATATTCCCTTAGGACATAAGAGTGTGCTTCTCTGGGATAAGTGGATGGTTTTCTTTACTGTTTGTTTATTTTGGGGGTGATTTTTCTTTTTTTTGTGTGTGGGTGAGTGGGTGGGTGGCTTTTTTTTTTTTGGGGGGGGGGGGGAGGGTTGCAGTTGGAGGATGACGTGGTCTTCTAAGATCATTTTTAGCATAGTCATCTAGGATAGAGCAAGCCACAGCCTTTATTATTAGCCATCTCATGCCCAATTACTGTTACAAATCTAGCGGCCTTCCACGAGGCCTCAATTTAATGCATTGCAGATACATTGTACAGGTTTTCTTCTGACTAACAACAAATAACACCCATCTTAGTCTTCTACTAATGGGGGTTCTGGAAGGGTAGATTGGATACAAATTTAATCTGTGGTGTTATTTGCACAAAGCGACTGACCCAGTGTTCAAATCCACAGCATCATGGCTACTGGGCTGAATTTCAACAACTAATCCAGTGCCCCCTACTATGTTTTTCTCTAACTATACATAGTAATAATTCTTCATTCTCAACAAGAATGCATCAATAAAACTGTCCTTCCATATAGATCGTCGTGGCATGAACTTTTTCAATAGTATCTCTATCCCATATTGTATCCATAACTAACTCTTGCTTCAAGACAACCTTTTTTCAGTTGATTTTCAAAGCATGGTTCAGTACCACCATAAGACACTGATTAGCATAGCACAACACAGACAAGCCGACATGAATTTTTTCAAAAAAGTATAATAGGGATACATTAGAGACACATTAAATAATATGCATTAATATATATATATATATATACAATCATGTGTTAAAATAAAAATATTATCATAATAATCTTTTAATTCATCATTTCCCTAATTCCAAAAGCTCACATCATGATATCACTACATAAAAAATACAAAATAAGATATGTCAATACACATTAATCATTAATATCTATGATCCAACAATCAATGACAACTACAATTTTTATTTTTAAAATATTTCAAAGAGCCCCAATTTTGCAACTCCATTTTTCCTCACATTACTTTCATATTAAAGTTTACTCCATTTATATACAAGTTCTCATTCATATGTGATATTATGCTCCAGTCATGCCTATGGTTTTCTTTTTTTTTTTAATAAATGTCTTATGTTCAATGTAATGATTCTAACTCATTTTATATTATGACTTTGACTCAAATCTCTTTAAATTACAAAAATAACTCCCTTAATTATAAAATTATCTGAAAAGTTTTCAAAAAATTGGAAAAAAACTTCAAAACTTGCCCTCCTAAAAATAAATTTAACAATAACAAAATAGAACACTCATTTTAGCGTGTCCGAAGTGTATCCGTGTCTGTGTCCCAGACATGTCCGACACCTAAACTCTAGCCAAAATGAAGTGTTCGTACTTCCTACCCCATATGCATCGAGTAACTTTAAAAAATAATTTTATACTTCTAAGCTCTACTTTTTTGGAGCATTCCACTCTGTTTATGTGCATCACAAGTGCAATCTAATGCATTAAACAATATCACCACAAAGATTGAGAAAGTCCTATATCGAAGATCCCCCCTCCCTCACTCTATAGTCCATACATATCCATGAAATATGCACAATCTCAACTACCACGATGCAGGGCACCATCTGACAGTGAAACCAGGAATAATCATGAATTAAAAACAAAAAGAACGAACATAAATAGTTGAATAGTGGAAAACAAACTAAAGTTTTTCTGACGCTTATATGAACACAATGCTAGCATTCCGAAGCTTATATGTATGCAATGTTAGCAGATGAAAGATCCCCCAACATGACAATAATAAGCCATAAGACCTGCACCACCTGGTTAACAAAGTTTTTACTAGCCAGTAAATGAATTTGGCCAATCACTTCACCTCTAAAGATAAGATAGACAATACATGCATGCAAATCAAGCCACTATGTCTCATAAAGAAAACAAAGATCACCTGCTCATTTTGAAAATTTGAATCAAGCTGCCATCGTTGATCATATGAGGAACCCTGCCACAATAAATAATAAGGAAGTAATCATAAAAGATGCAAAAAATACAGAGGAAGGTCACCAAACATTTCCAAAAACACTCTAGCCATGGCATCTATTAGACAGTATGGACTATTATATACCAGGTGTTTCTTCTTCTTCTTTTTAGTTTTTGTTGATATTTCTAAGGAGTCAAATGGTGATTGTTTTTCAAAGTCCCCCATTGACTCAACTTCCATGCTATTTGGGACTTGAGATCCACCATGAAAAGTACTCTGATCATCCTGAAAAGAATTGGTATCACCACTGGAAGCATCTGTCTTATTTGGTGCCTGAACACCACCATATGTTCCAGTGCTAAAAGGACTTGTGACCCTCTGCCTGGAGGCAGTCCGCATACGTTTTGTTGGAATTGAAACATTGAGACTGTTGGCAGACTGTTTTCCCATTAACATGGATTGTTGAGTCCCAACTTTCTTTTCCAAACGATGCAGAAATGGCAAATCAGCTCCCACTTCATATGATCTTGCACTATATGCCTTCGGCAAGTTTTTCCGTTTCTTCTGAGCAAATTTCAATGCCCTGCTACCTTCAAAGGCTCCTGGCAAATAATATGTGCTTGTTTCTCCTTCATCTTCTTCACATGCATTATCTTGATATTCAAAGTCTAAATTCAGAACTAAACTTGTGAAGAATGCAAGATTACTTGAAAGCACGGAAAAAATAGATCGCGCCAGCCCCACAAATACCTGGAACAGTGTCTTGGATGGATGTCTCCACTTCCTCATGCATGCTACTGCCAGTTTTCTAAGGAAAAAATCAAAACAAATTCTGGTAAGTAGGCTAGCACAACCACGAAAATGGCAACCATGGCTACCAGCTGCAACAGTTATTGCTCAGTGATTGGCAAAACAGAAAATCCTACTTATAAGCGGATACAGGTTTCAAGAATGATATTACATTTTTTCTCGCATATTAAAAGGTCATGCCGCACACAATTGCTAAGTCAGACAATTCATGATATCCTAGGTCATGAAACTTATATTCTGGAGGGAATGGTACGATCTAAGGCAACTACAATCAAGAATCCCAGCCATTCCATCTTTTTTAAAACGAACAAGATTAGTTCTTAAACCTTTGGCCCCTCCGTTAGAACTGATCCACAACAATGGTCCCATCTCAAAATTACCTAATGAGTTCCCCAAAACTGAAGCTACATGTCGTAGCACGGTTCTCCTGACCAAGAATCAAAATATCGTTTCGGTGTATTGTTTCGGTCACATAGGAAACGGAAACGTTTCGACGTGTTTTGAAAACGTTTCAAGCCGTTTTGAAAACATAATGAAAAAAATAAAAAATTTAAGAATTATTTTTTAAAAACATTAATGAAAATACATCAAAGTATCTTGATATACCTTAAAACATTCTAAAACAATTGTGCAAATGTATTGAAATATTATAATACATTTAAAAACATTATGGAATACCTCGAAATATCAAAATTTCGATTTCATCACTGTTTCGTTTCGGTCTCCTTGGAAACGGAAACGTTTCGGACATTTCGACCGTTTCAAAACGATATTTTGATCCTTGCTCCTGACTAATTAATCAGAAATCCAAACTAGACGACAAACAATTCGGAGGATACCAGAACATGGAATTTTCCTTCCTGCCTTTAATCTCGTTTAATTTTTGAGTGTAAGTTAATCATAAAAACTAACAGCCTAAGTTCATCATAAAATCTAGCAATACTTTGACTAGGAAGCACAACCACTTCATTTTGGCCAACTATGACAAACACGTTTTGGGATCTTCCCCGACATGCTAAAATGAGTTTTTACCTTTTTATTATTATATTTTTTTCAGACACATTGGGGACACGTAAATGACACACTCGGAACATGTTGGGATATGTAATCGACATGCTGGGAACATGTTTTGAGTTTTTTTCTTTCAAATTTTTTAGAAACTTGTCAACAAACTTTACAAATAAGGAAGTTATTTTTATAATTTTGAAGAGATATGTGTCAAAGTTATAATATAAAAAGAGTTATAATCACTACATGGACATAGGACACCGGTATGAACATAGTTTTATAAACAATTATACAAAATGGGATACACCTTTTACATGAAAGTAATTTAATCACAAATAGGGTCATGAAATTAGGGCACTTTGAAATTAAATGAAAATTAAGGTTGTGAAGTGGGATATTTTTTAAAATTGAAATTGTAGTAGTCATTGATTGTCGGATCATGGATGTTTATGATTAGTGCACCGGTCCAAGATTTGATTCTTTATTCGATGATTTTGTGATACAAATTGTTAGAATTATAGAAAGAAAGAATTGAATGATTATTATCAATATATATTTATTTCATCATAGATCGTATATATAAAAATAAATAAATACGTTATATTTAGTGTCCCCCAACGTGCCCGTGTCCTACTGTTTTGAAAAACTTTGCATCAGTACGTCCCTGCTTCTTAGTCTACTGGAATAATTGTTCGTTGGCTCATTGTACTGTAAGTCTGTAACTGGCATTCCTGAGATTGGTTTAATACATCCTTCCTTTAATGTTCACATTTCAGATTGTTCTTCCATTTTTGTAATCAGCTGAACTAGGTTGTACCTGCTCCAATTCAAAAAGCAGTAGGAGTCCAAAGAGGAATAGCATTTGACTCTTGAGAAATGAACAGATTATACTCCTTGAAATAAGCGCATGAACACCCCTAATTGCCACCAAAGAAAAAGTGGTTTCCAACAAGTTTAGCTTATGGTTCCCCAGGCCATCCAAGCCAGGTGTACGACAGTGCGAAGTTCTAAACCGTGACCCCACCTGAAAAATGTCTAGACTGATGAAAACCACAAAACATTAGATTTTACGAGCATTGTTTACGCTCCTAAGCACTTGATTCCCTACACTTGGGGGTTGGGTTCAATATTTTCTTGCTATCTGATTGCAGAGCCATGTAACTTATACAACAGCCAAACCAGCCCAAAATGAAGCAGGAAAGCAGTGACCTACAATTACATTACCGCATATAATAACTGAGCTATGACTCATATGTTTACCTCGCATTGTATCAAATAAGATTCAATAGATTTTCTGTAGGTTTCCATCGCACCAGCAGGAACTGTGTAAAAGAGATTCTCCTGCGAGAGGGCAACAAATTCATTTCCTATAGAGCCATAAGCAAAGAATAGACAAGTAAAACAAGTGGGTATGAAAAATTCATCTGCTCAAGGCAAAAAATCTCCGAAATCCAGAAGCGGTGCAACTAAAAGGTCTTACAAGACATAAGATGTAATACGCTTATCACATACACACAAACACACACAGAGGTTCCACTGCCCACGATTGATGTTAAACTAAATGCACAAAAGAATGTAGCTTTACTACGTACTTCCATCAAGCTATCCTCCCACGTGTCCAGAATACCCAAATCAGACATCCAGTCAGGAGTTGTTTGGCACTCCACTTGTCCCTGTGGAACATGGGACCCATTCTCTTTTAGAAATCTAACTGCATATCCCCGAACAGAACATTGCAGCTCCAGCTCGTTGCTTTTTTCCTGCACAACCAACAAAAAAAAAGCCACTTGAATAAAACACAGCCACTGCAATTTCACATTAGGCCCATCTGGAATATATATATGAATCAAGTGATAGTGATATAGATCAAGAACAATAATACTAGCAGATTTCTGAAAAGCATAGGAGGATAAGATCCAAAGGGTGATACCGCCATACAATCTGGAATCCATCAAAATTCTGTGATTCCTATAGTACCATATCAGACAGTAAAAATATCTCTGAATCATACTGCTGGATATCATGCAGGTTGCAAGAAGTGAGCCTCATGTTTCTTTAGCCACATATTGTATTTTCTTCCAACCCCATCATTATGGGTGGGTGGGTGTGTTGTTTTTTTGTTTTGTTGTGGTGGTGGATTTTTTTTTTTTTTTTGGGGGAGGGGGAGGACTTCAACAATTACATCAACTGCTAAATGCATGAAAAGAACATACAAAATATCTAAAGGAACGGGTAAAAACCATTACTCAAGTCTAATTAGAGAGCAGGAACATTGGGCAAACTAAATAACCACCACCATAGTAAGATCTTCAATCCCAAGTTCAGTAATCTTATTCTCATCAATAATCAAAACAACTGCAAAGAAATTGGGGGAAAAAAGGGTAATCTCAGACCAACTAACCCTCCGTCACACAGATTCATAGTACCACTAATTTTTAGAACCGACAGGTGAATAATAAGATATTTAAAAGTACCTCCACAGAATGCCAGAAGTCCATAATAGCTTTTGCCAAGGTAAGAGCTACATTTTTTTGCTTCCAACGTGAATTTTGTTCTTCAAATCTTAACCGTGAAGAAAAAGCAGCTTGATAACCTAAACGAGCAGCAGCAGATATCTTCCAAAGACGTTCCTATTTGAAGGGAATTGCAAATCAGGAAGGCACATAAAGCAAACAACAGCCATTCAAAGTAGTTTTCCTGAAAAAGAGATACTTGCGATCTATATGCTAAATAATCGTACTTAGACAGACATAATCCAAAGGCAGAAAGCAAGGAGACATAAAAAGAGCAACTATAGGGTTAATTGGCAAACTCAGACCTGAGAAAAATCATTTGCCAACCATGCCATTTCCTCAATGACGAAATCCCAGTGAGATTTTCGATGATTCTCTTCCGGTTGGGCACTAACAGATAACTCAGCAATCCTCTTACGCTTCGCCTGTTTACTGAATTATGTCAGACCTTTGAAAGAGTTCCTTTCGAGTTCAACAAAATACAGACCATAGAACAGACTGGGATTTAAAGAGATAACCTCTATAATCCGTGCCTCTTCCAGAATAGAATCTTCGTCTGCCTCATTGACCACACTCGGTTGCTCACCGGAACAAGTGTGGTGCTCTGCGGCTACATTTGGAACCCTAACAGAAGACTTAGTTTCAGGAAGCTCTTGATTAGAGAAATCCACTGAATTCTGAAGTGTATCAGGACAAGCATTTTCACTGTGAGGTATCGAACTTTCACCCAACAAAAAACTAGGTTTGCTTTCTGTTTCTGATCCATTAACACCATCTGGTTCCATTCCCTCAATAACAATAGGACCTTTCACATCATTTTGCAAGCCTAGTATGCTTCCATTTAGTTCTTCCTGGGTTTTGATGATGGAACCATTGCCTTGGTTGCTTTGACAAATAGAATTGATATCATCATTAACTAAAACACAACTGTCATTAGCTTTAATCTCGGTCTTGTCTGCAACCAATTCATCACCTTCCATATTTGGCATCCTTTCAGATGCTAAGAGTCGTTCCTTAATATTCCCATTGGAATCAATATTTAGCAAATTAGTACACCTTTCACTATCATTATTTCCATCAATGCTACGGCTTGTATGCGTGCAAGATGAATCTGAATCTAAACCCTTCTTGTCAAATGCAACACTATTATTTTGACCTTCAATTGACACGCTTTTCCTATCCCCCTTTTGGCAGCTGAGCCCATTCATCTGACCATAACCCACTAGATTATCCACTTTTGTGGTAGTCACACAAGGCACACATTCAAGACCCACTGAAACCGCCTGTTCCCTTCCCCCAACAGATTCAGGAGCTTCAGAAGCCATTTCAATAGGAGTTTCCTGAGAATCAGCTTGTGAGGGTTGGTTGTCCCACAAGCGTTTAGGAGTGTCAGCATCTGAAACACCACCAGGCAGACAAACATTGGTTAGACCAGTAGATTCTACAGCTTGCATGCCATCTAATTTCATAACTAACTGAATATCAGAAGGTACTGTCTTGAGAAGCATAATACCATTTGGACTTCTGGGTGGATCACAATTCGTGGAAACAATCTGCTCCTTCTGATTGTCTGCAACAGTGACTAGCCCTTTGGGATCTCTGCGACCATTGCGAGAAGGTAAATAAGAGCTGTGACCAGCACGAGATGGTACTACATCATTTGAGCTTGATCGAGCACCGTCTCGATTTGGTCGGGACCTGTACCGTCGCTTATATGCCTTTTTTGGAAGGTCAAACACAGCAGAGTTCGCTAATTTTTTGGCATTTTGATTTCCATCCAATTGGGAGAACTGCTCTGATGGAACAATCTTACTCCTACTGGGATGTACATAGTTCCTTTCACCTCCAAGAAATTCATTTTCAGCATCAAATAACATGAGATTATCAGCACTATTGGGTTCACAAACTGGAGGAGCCCCTAGTCTACCACTACTTTCAACAGAATCACCATGAGGTGAAGCAGTCAATGCAAAACTACCTTTTGCTTCACTGAAACACCACAATAAAACATTAGACAAGTCATTATGAAAAATAAAAAGAATAAATGAGTGAGCAAGATGTAACTGGAAGGATAACCAATGACTCAATGACACAAATGCAGAAAAAGTACCTGGTCACAAATGGTTCATGGTGTTGATTTGTCAGAGAAGTAGACTGGACACTAACTGAAGCTGCTGTCCCAAGTTTGAAGTCCAGGGGATTGCCACCCTGCATAGAAGAAAAATTGCAAATCACCATAATACATCTAGAGTAATCACATATCCATATGAAGGATTCAGAAAGCAATATATGGATAGAGTTTCCATACTTTCTCAAGAAACTCTAACTCTCTTCTCCTTTCCTCACGCACATCATACTCCTGCCTGTTATCAACAAAACAACAAAGTCTCTCATATTTACATTGACAGAAAGAAGATTTTGGGTGTACTGGAACTATAGTATGCAGGTCAACAATTCAAAGGAGCATGGCAGTATCACCTAAGCTCTGCTTGAGCCATCTCAATTGCTGCTTGCTGCGGAGAGGCTTTGGTGCCACTACGAACTCCACCTTCAACAACTCCCCCCATGGAATCAACCTCGGCATTGACTAGAGCAGATCCAGTACTACATCCATGCATGCCTAACTTTTTATCTACAGGTGTTCCTGTTCCATTGATTCTAGACTTGGATCGAATTCCTTACAGATAAGAATAGCAACAATCAGTCACTAAAAAAGAGAACGAAGCACACAACAGAAATAACTATAAGATGTCCATGGTTTGGTAATTTTAAAAAAAAATCCCCTTCTGCATTATTGGAAAGACAAAAATAAGATGCTGAAGCATATTGGATATACATCAGCAATGCTAACACTCAAACTTTCACAATTTCTTTAGATCATAGTACCTTCGAAATCAATAAATATAGGGAATGTGACCAATCAAAAAGGTGGGAATGTGGATTAGGATAGATTAGACAATGTAGCCACTCATGTCACAGTATTGTCATTTGACAGAAGCTTTCCTCAATATTAACATGACACTGTAAAGATAACCTGAATATGACATCTTTTATGAGTATACGTTAAGTCCAAGGCACGAGTACAAGTTTTAGCTTAAAAAAAATTTCAATTAGTGTTTTTTAACTATGACCCTCATACCTTTATAACAAGCATGCATACACATTCTTAAATAACTAAAGGGGCCACTCCAATATAATGAATAGAGAAAAATAGCTTACATTCCATTAATTCCATACAGCAATCTAATCAGCAAGATCTGAGTAGTTTTATAATCTCTTGTGAAACTATGACTATAACACACCAAGCAGTAATGCATAACACATCCATACCTGACTAGGTAATTATCTGGCATATAAACGTTGCATAATGAAAGAATTTCCCAGGAAAAATTACCAGATACATTTGAACACTACTGTGCAAGAGCTAGAACTCACATGGCACATCGAACTCTGATACGCTGAGAAGAACAGAAACTTTTAAAGACAAACTTTCTCTATGTTTGTGCCCTTGTCAGATACATCCTGGAAACTAAGACTTCCTGAACGCTTTTGGGACATGCGCAACATATTTTGTGTCCAAGTACAAAGTGGTTTGTGGCCAATGCCTCTTAGATACTCTTGGACACAGAAATTAAATGGCATACAATGTGTGCAAATGCACGTGTGCAATACATATATCTACATATGACATAAGTACGTATCTATGTATGCTACAAATCTCTTTATATTCCCAACTCCAAATAGCTTTTGTGTCTTGTTTTTTACAAAATTGCCTTCAATGAGTTCATATCCTTCAAGACTTGAACCCTGGTCCAAACGATGGAGCTTAGCTGGTAAGTGGGAAATGTCCAACTTTCAGGAAGTTCAGTTTAATTTGCTTAAGTCACTCCCTTAATCATGGTTGAAGGTCGAGGTATCGACTGTTGACTCGGATGACACTAATACACATCATTGGTCGCAGCATCATAGCACGGTGTTGGCCGATATGCTAAAAATGCTATAAAAAAAAGCCAAAAAAATTCTGGAATATCATGAAAATTTTTTAAAATATATAAATAATAACATCCATGCATCATACGTCCAAAAAAAAATCTAACATCGAAATATTCTGAAAATAAATTACAAGGGCGATATCAGTAATATTTATCATAATCAGTGTTTAATTTAAGCATTTATGAAAGTAAAATTTTAGTATATAAATATATTAACAGTACCCACAAGATAGTCTCCTGTCATATACATAAAAGTATTTATATTAAACTACCCAATAGCCCAATAGGACCAAAATCCACTGCTGCTGCCATATGATCAAAGATATAACATATTATATTAATACAAGTATAAGTCTTTTTTGGTTATGTATAAGTTAAATGTGGCTCTCTATTAGTGTCTAAGACACACACACACACAGAGAACATAAGAAGTTAAGAGGGATACCTTCGATCGAAGACGGAGAGAAACCTTTCGACCAAGTCAGAACCTTGCATTGTTGCCTGGAAAAAGGGATGAGGGTTGGGCCACTGCTACTTATGCGAAGGAAGAAGAAGAAGTGCACTATGTATTCGTTCTAATATGTTTTTCTTGAAAATATTTTCAATTCCTTCTTCCGTTTCTATAGTTGCAAAAATGTGTGATCTAGGGTTGAATAATTGTTGCTTTGTCACTTTTTAGGGTTGAGACTAATGAATTGCATGTGCTTTCAACATTGGTGGATCTCTAATTTGTTCTTTATTTCTTATCAATTCCTTTTTCATTTGACTTTTTCAGTCACGAAACAAACCGAATCCATGAATCTGGAAGTGGGTCTCATTCCTTTTCTTCTACCTTTCTCCTTTTTATGGTTTTTTGTGGCTTGTCTAGGATTTTGCATATCCCGTCCCGACTCGGTTAGAGTCTAACAATTCAACTCCGAGCTAAGCCGATATCTCCAAGTCGTAACCAAGTCAAGCCCAAGTCAGTTGTGCCTCACTATAGTTGTGTAACGTGTGTCAGTAGCGTATCAGAGGTAGCCGAGTTGTATCGGACTCAGCCAATACTTTGAACCCTGCCCTTAATCATAAAAGTGAATTGATTACATCTTTTGTGGCGTACACACCCATATTTTTAGTTTCACCCTAAACAATGATCAAGGACATCATGCTTGATATGTACTCCATACTTATGTTAGGCGTAGCAATAACTGGATTTGTTGGCAATACAAAACATAATCACTATAAGGTTATCAAAATAAACGGATATCCCAATGCTCACTTAACAAGTCACACGTGAGGCACAGTCGTATGTGCCCACAACACGCCCCCCCCCCCAAAAAAAAAAAAAAGAAAGAGAGAGAGAGAGAGAGAACAATACCAGCAAAATGAAGCATGAAATGGCAATTAACAAGCGGCATAATAGAAACAATCAATTAAGGCATATAAGCAATCACTATCCAAACCTAATGTCACTCTCAAAACCCAAGAAGTTTGTAGCAAAGACAATTTATTAATGCAGGCACAGTAGCCATTTCAAATATCGCAGAATAAGTAATATCATTACCTTGTGTGCCAGGAAATAGAAAGAGGAAATAAGTAACCTACTAAGTATGCATGGCCAGACACGTGGGCATTGACTTTGTTACTCTTACAGTTAGTTGGAATAGCCTAGCGCAAACAGAAAGCTGGTTAGTTGACCACAGCCAATGGAGTCAAAGTTCAGTTAAGTACCAGTAGCCCACGAACACCCACAAGTCAATGCTACACTGCACACATACAACTTCAACATTTCAAATTTAACTTTTCGCAGCCATTTGCACACGTTACTCCAAGAAACATGTATTATAACCACCATACCATTTAGCTTCTCAGATGCTCAACAAAAAGAGATCATCTAAAATTCAAAAAAAAAAAAAAAAAGTATTCAAGCTTGCAATTAACACACCTTTAAGTCACTTACCAGAAAAAACACAACTTTAAGATAAGTTACTGGAAAAATAAAACATACTCACGTTAATTAGAGTCCAATTAAATAAGCTTCCTAAATAATATTGCAATGCATGCAGAACCTCTAAGCATTTAATAAAGAACGACCAAACCAATTAAACAACACACATTTTAACATCCTTGCCTCGAAAATGAACCCTAGAGAACAACTCCAACACTGGAACCAAAATTAGGGTTTTCAGAACGTGAATACTAGTCCAAATTCAAGGGCTTGTGAAGCTAGAATTTGAAAAGTAATACCTGAATTGCAATTAGCTATGCATCAATTGGCAGCTAGGACTAGCTTTAAGTCGTCCCTAGAAGTTCCTATCTCTTCTAGGGTTTTGCTTTGATCCAACGTACAACAATTCAAAGCACACCAATTAGCCCTAGAAAATGTTCAGCCGTGGAAGCATTGAATCCTCTCTGAAACTCCCTCTTGGCCTAATATGAATAAATGTGCATGTATGCGTGTATATGTATCGTTCTGGTTCGTCTTCGTGCTCGTTCTTTGCCCCTACTTTCTCTCTCTAAAAGTTATTTTTTTATTGTGTTTTCTCCCTCTAAGATTGTAAACTATTCGATCTCTGCGTGGGCTGGACATGCAGACGAGGAAGAAGAGGGCTTCGGGAATTCGGTCCTTTTGGGCCTTTTTTTCTCCTGAGTTTTATTTGTTTTTTAATTTTAATTTAAAAGAACAATTTCTTAATACCGTCAAATATATTTTAGAATCTCCAATAATAATTTAAGTGGTAACATGAACAAATTATAAACTCAGATGTCCTGAGTTTGAATTTTGGCGATTCTTTGAGATCAGGCTATAAAAAATTTATCTTTCATGAATACCCTAATACTGACGTGGATGACAAAAATTATTTTACTATAATTTAACTTTTTATTTTAATTATTCATAATTATTGGATTGGTAGTGAAACTCTATTTGGTGAGATCTGCTATCAATTCAATGATTATAATAAATTAGATCACATAATAGATTTAATGCTACTTGGGGGGCATTTTTGGGATTTGGGAAACTTTTCTTTGAGTTTATTTTTTCTTTGAAACCAATTGGAAACTGAGTAACTACAATTTCAAGAAAAAAGAAAATAAAGGTGTAATTAGCAAAAGGCCAATTTTCATTGGCTGGTGGCTTTTAATTGCAAAATATTGTATTTCATAATTGGGCAATTAATGCCCGTTTTGGCAGCTCATATCATTGAATATCATTAAAAAGTGGTAAATTTTTTTGAACGGAAGAAATATGATAAAAATAATTATTATAACAGTCATAAAAATATTCACAAAAATAATAAATTATTCACAAAAGTGATATATTTTTTTATTGTAAAATAACCTATTAAAATTATAAAAATACCCATTAAAATACTAAATTTTGATAATATGATATTGATATTTTTTTTGTCGATACCACAGTCAAGTCCATATCATTATTGTCCACCCAAGTTTTAATATAGTTAATTCATGCATTTATTGAATCAGACATATATATATATATATATATATATATATATATATATCAAAATATAAAACAGAGCAAGATTCAATAAGTTGATCCGACAGTCCCAAATAAACTCATCTAATAGCCACCAGCATCCCTCTCAAAATCATTCATATTTCATCGTATGTTCGGACACAGATTACTCCTAATATATATATATATATATATATATCAATCAATTCATATCTAATATCTCAAAAATATATAATTTCCAAACACAACTAGGGTTTACTTTTACTTTCCATTTTTTGAGGCTTCACATATTTTGGAAACAAAAATGAAGGTGGTTCTTTTACCTATGATGTACAACTTGGGTGATGTTTTTCTTCAAAATTAAAATAAAACTATGTACCATTTTTATCTTTTAGGTACATCATAACTAGAAGTCTCATACATAGGTACACTTGAATTATTCAATGCGCAGCTCTCATCAATTCTTGAAAAACATCTGCTTCTGACTTATAGAAAATTATTTCGAGGGATTCGATTGATTAAGTCGTTATGTCTATTGATACCCACATGCTCGAGAGTGTATAAGGTCTTACTCACCCCCTTTTATGACTTAAAAAAAAATTGAGTATGAGTTTAACTACAAACTTTAATAAGTATCAATGATCACATCACCCGTGAACGTGTGAACAAACATTATGGTATTTTGAATGCTATTAGTAATTTTTTGACCATTTTAGTATCTATTTATTTCCAATTCAAATAAAAAAAGGAAAAATCAAATCCAATCGATACCTTTATGATTTCCTAACTATTGCACATGAACATGTTCATCTACCAAGTTTTTTTTTCTTCCAATTTTTTTCCTTTATTGAAAGTCCTCCCATCCACTTTAATGAGCATAATGGTATGATTTCAGTTTTAATGATCATATGCAACGTCAAACAATTCTTACTTTTCGTTCCGAATACTCTATCATTGGAGCTAGATTAAAGACTATGCAGCATTACGTTTATACTACGTTTGGAAGAAGGGATGAAAAATTAGAAGAATAGAAGAGTATGAGAAATATAATTTTTCTTATTGGATTAAAAATATTTTTCTCTCTTTTTTTTTTGCTACGATGAATGAAAGAATGGAAAAGTACAAGATATAGACTATATATCTTATTAGAAAAAAATATATTTTCCCTCGTTTTTGCTTGCTATGATAAATGAAAATTGGAGAAACTAATTTTATATGACTAATGCTACACAATCAGAATGAAAACCTATAAAGTATAATTCAAATGTATATCATCATTTGGATGAGTGTTAGATAAGTAGGCCTCATCAACTTTTTTTAGTGGGACTCATTCATTCAAATGATGATACGCATTTAGATTATACTTGTTGAGTTTTATTTAAATTGTATAGCATTTTTTCATTTTATATTGTTTGGTATTATAAGAAAAGTGGAAGAATAGAAAATATAAATTTACTTAATTTATCCTTAAAGCTTTGAAAATGTTTAATGTCATGTTAATTATTTATAAAAAAAATTAATATAAATATGTATAACAAAAATAATAACCATATGAAAAATATATGTGATACGATAGTTAGGAGAGTTTCTTGAGAAGTGTGCATATTTTAAATTAAAATTGTGAAATAATGTCTAAAAGTATATTCAAGGACAAACAAGTCAATTTGTCGAAAAAGTAAATTATTTTCAATTATTGGTGGGATTGAGGGAAACACTTTCCTGCCTATTTTTTTTTTTGGAACTAAACAATAAAAAATCTTTTGTTTTTCATCCCATTTTTCTTTCCTTATTTCCCATCCACCCAACTTTTCATCAAACTAAACACACTATAAAAACACTTGATAAAGTCGAGCAAGATAAAAAAGATGAACAATGCTATAAGGAATTAATTCAATGCATTGAGTAAAATAGTTGTTATGAGACCCAGATATACATTACATTAAGTTTAATTTTGAGTAATAGTGAAAGTAATTTAATTTTAAAAAATTGAGGTGGTAAGTATGATTATCCAAAAAATTGACGAGTTCAATTTGACATATGTCGGAATTAAGGCAAGTTAGTCAGTATACCTGATGTTATATTTAAACTACAAGAGTGGAATTAAATTGAAGTTTAGAAAGTTGGGATTAAATTATAATTATTGAAATTATTGGAAAAAACGTTATGAGAGTAAATTACGAGAGTTAAATTCTTCAAAGGATAAAAGTGTAATTAGTGCGTAAGGTTGTAATTATTGGAGGTAGAAGGCGGTGGTCAGATTAAAATGAAAGAAAGAAACAAAAAAAAGAGAGGAAGGAGAAGGAAGAAATAAAGGAAAAAAGGAAACTGTGACAATCCGACAGTGAGATTAACTCTGTTTTTTTGCAAATTTGAGTATGTTGTTCATCCTAGTTTGAAATTTATATCTATTGGTTTAGTTTCTTCAAATGAAGCTGTTTTGTTTATTTTATATTTTCTTTTAGTTGATAATCTTTCAAGTAGAGAAAATTGTATTGATTCGTATGGAAGTTAGAATTTTGTTGAAAACGTAATTTTTCTTCACTCAAGTCGTATGAATATGAATTTTTGAATCAAGCTCTACAGGTTCAAAGTTGTATGTACAAATATAGCTATTCAGGTTCAAAGTTGTATGTACAAATATAGCTATTGGGTGGAGTTTTCATCAAGGAAAGAAGTAGAATTTCATAGTTAGTGGATGGAATTGTTTAAAATTATAAGCTGGAATTATAGTTTAGTTGTTTTGAAGGGTTTTGATTGATTTGGAGTAAGTTGAATTGAGTTTTGGTTCATGAGTAGAAGAATAGATATGGTGATAATAATCCCAATTTTGACAGACAACTTGGATACTCGATAAAA